TTGCCTACCCTACTGTTTTTAGTTTGGTTGTCCAAATTGGCGCTTAATTTCGTACTTCTGTTAGGAAATTGCCTACTGTTTTTAGTTTGGTTGTCCAAATTGGCGCTTAATTTCGTTGTTCTGTTAGGAAAATTGCCCACTGTTTTTAGTTTGGTTGTCCAAATTGGCGCTTAATTTCGTTGTTCTGTTAGGAAAATTGCCCACTGTTTTTAGTTTGGTTGTCCAAATTGGCGCTTAATTTCGCAGTTCTGTTAGGAAAATTGCCTACCCTACTGTTTTTAGTTTGGTTGTCCAAATTCGTGAAGCTTAAGATTTAATTTTAAAAATATTTTAGTATACTGCAGTACCAGCACCATTATTCTAAAAATAAACGACACTAAATAAAACCCTACCAAAGTATGTTTCAGATGCTTTTATTTTTTATATGTAAAATAATCTCTTTAACTTCTAGTACTTCACTGTATAAATGATATTTATATATTACAACCTGTCGACTATGACGTCACAATATTGAATATTGGTAGTAATAAGTTAATATTATTATATGACAATTTTACTGTCTCAACAAAAGTATTCACCTCCAGTATCGATCCCTGTATTATCTCAACAATAGTATTCACCTCTAATGTTGATCCCTATACTGTCTCAATAGTAGTATTCTCTTTCAGTTTCGATGTCCCTATACTGTCTCAACAATAGTATTCATTTTCAGTCCTCTATTGTCGAGCCCTGTACTGTATCAGTAATAGTATTCTCCTCCAGTGTCGATCCCTGTACTATCTCAGTAGTAGTATTCTCCTCCACTGTCGATCCCTGTACTGTCTCAGTAGTAGTATTCACCTCCAGTGTCGATCGCTGTACTGTCTCAGTAGTAGTATTCACCTCCAGTGTCGATCCCTGTACTATCTCAGTAATAGTATTCACCTCCAGTGTCGATCTCTGTACTGTCTCAGTAATAGTATTCTCCTCCAGTGTCGATCTGTACTGTCTCAGCGATGGTATTCATCTCGAGTGTCTATCCCTTTACTGTCAACAATAGTATTATCTTCCAGCGTCAGTCCCTGTACTCTTTCAACAATAGTATTCACCTCTAAATTCGATCCATGTACTGTCTCAACAATAGTATTATCCTCCAGCGTCAGTCTCTGTACTGTCTCAACAATAGTATTATTCTCCAATCCTCCAGTGTCGATCCTTATATTCGTAAAGCTTTTGTGTGTTATCAAGTTAGTAAGATAGGCTTTAGGACTGATGACTGTATATGTGACAAAACCCAAACGAACTAGAAAATGGTTCATGATAGAGACGAAAGCTTCTGAACCAGCAAAGTTCAACTGTTCCATTATTGATAAAAGATTAATGTGATAAAGACGTAAGCCGAGAGATTGAACATTAATTAAAATTAACCAATTTTTGTGCAGTTAGTGGTCATTTGCTGTTACAAGACGAACCTGGGATTTTCACTATCTGGTTTCATTCTATTAAAATAGTATTTCAAAATATCAGCCTTATGTTAATGATAAACTCTAACTGTTAGCTAGTATTTTAACATTTAATATTCTGATTTATTCTAGGAGGTAATCAAACACTTCAATTAGAGCATTAAATAAATAATTATTTGAGATTCAGCTCAAAAACATGAATACATTGTAGCGCTAAACTCTAGAGTATACACAAGAGAAATGTTAAACAATCTTTACAGACGAATCTTTCTTTTTGACATGGTTGGCAATTAGACATGATGAAAGATTCAAATCGAGCACTAATTCACCTCGCTTTATTCTGTTGCTCTACCGCAGAGAATTTTAACCCTTGTCTCAGACTCTGATTAAGCTTACTGCATTAAAATCTTGTTCCGGCAAAATTTAAATACAAAAACAATTTAACCAGTTTTAATCCTTTACTTGTTTTATTTAGGTATGATAAGTAGTCAAATATCTATCTATCTGTTCCACTTCAGAAGTTGACCATTAGTGGACAGTCTATGTACTTCTAACACTAGAAACCGGGTCTTGATACCCGTAGTGTGCACATCACAAATAACCCATGGCGTAGCTTTGTGCTTAACTATAAACAAAACTTCAGAAGTTATTACAACATTTACACATTCATTTTTTTATTTACTTCAGAGGTATTTCGATTAGATATGAATATGAAATGCTTTGGTTTTAAGGTATAACATCAATATATATATATATATATATATATAATAGTACTGTCTGTTGTTTGTACATGTAAGAACTTCGCAGGGTGTGGATGAATCTTCACCAAAATTGGTATGGAGGTTCATCAGGTTTATGCGGGGATACACACATTTTACGTTTTTGTGGTTTTTATGGGCGTTTTTTTTTTACAATTGCATATAAGGGAAGCAGCTTTTCACGTCCTAAGATAACCTTTCATTAATCATGAATTTATATGACTTCCGTACAGGGGACGCGTGTTTCAGCTAGTTTATAATGATTAACGTATTTAGCAACTGTTGATTACAGATGATCTGGGAACAAGGGAGCGTTGTTGTTGTCATGCTTACCAGATTAATGGAGAACGGTGTTGCAATGTGTCATCGCTACTGGCCTGAAGAGGGCAGTGAAATCTACCACATCTATGAGGTAAAACCAGTTGAATTAAGTAAATATACGTGGTATAATTTATGTTGTATCGAGGAAGTAATATTTCAAGTCTAAAGCCACTTGGAAATTATATGGTTTTTGAAATATATTTTCTTTCTTCATCAGAGCCTGGGTTATAGGTTTTTTTTATTTTGTTTTTCATTTAATTTTTTTTAACCTACGTAATATCTTAACATCATGAATGAATTTCTATGCAACGAATATTTCTGTGATATTTCTATTCTATATTATGAGGTAAGTTTTGAGATACCAGAAGTATACTTCATAAGCAAAGTTTAAAACTTCAAACACTTTCTGTACATTTGAAAACTGTTCGGAAAATAGTTTAATCTAACATATAGATGCAACGTTACGTAGTATTATGTACTGTTTGTGAGTTTATTCGGTATTATTTATGAAAATAAGCAAATTTTGAATAATTGTGCTTCTTTGTTGGACTTCAAGGCGGTTTTTTTTTTGGTTAAAGAACTAGTAAAACTGAGTATAATTGCTTGTTTTCCCAGCATACTAGATAAGAGTTATTATCGTTTCCAGGTTCATCTGGTTTCTGAACATATCTGGTGTGACGATTATCTGGTCCGAAGTCTCTATCTCAAGAACTTGAAGACAACTGAAACCCGGACTGTCACACAGTTCCACTTTTTGTCTTGGCCTGACAATGGCGTCCCAACTTCAATTAAGGCTCTTCTGGAATTCAGAAGGTAGGGATAATATGAATTTATTTACCGATATTCATCCCCGAAAAACAATTTATTTAAAACTATAACACAGTTCTACTTCTCTGATATTACAAGGGGAAAGACACGTTAATGTTACACGTGTGTTTACCATGGTTTTTTTTTTTTAATTACATTAGTATGTATAAGTCAGTATTTGAGAAGTTTCGGTTAACATTTCAATTTAGATTTAGATTTTGAAGTTTTCTGCGAACCATTTGAAGATTGTTATTTTCACACTTAACAATAATATATTTGTTTTAGTTCTTTGAACAAAATCACTAACATTTTCACTTATTCCACTACTAATCTATCTTTCTTAACCCTGTCATTGTAGATTACATTCTATACTGTGTATGGACTTGTCAAATGAAATAGAATTGCCAGTTTTGCTTGGGCTTCTGAAGCTCATACCCTTTTTTTAATTATTCGCAGTTTACTGATAAATTGAACTCTTCCTTTCTTCTGCGACATACTTTCTAATCTCTTCAGCTTGAGAAGTTCGTCTGATCTTCCAGAACTTTCGAACTAACAATCTGATCCATTTAGAACTTTCGAACTAACAATCTGATCCATTTGGAACTTTCGAACTAACAATCTGATCCATTTGGAACTTTCGAACTAACACACCATGGTCTTCCATCATTTTTGTGATTGGTGCAATTTGGTTAACACAATTGCATAGTCATAAAAGTGATGGGTGTCCAAGGGACAGCCTGCGATCCTGTTTCTTCTCTGTTGCTACTAACATAAAAGTGATGGGTGTCCAAGGTACAGCCTGCGATCCTGTTTCTTCTGTTGCTACTAACATAAAAGTGATGGGTGTCCAAGGGACAGCCTGCGATCCTGTTTTTTCTGTTGCTACTAACATAAAAATGATGAGGTTCTAAGGGACAGCCTGCAATCCCGTTTCTTCTGTTGCTACTAACATAAAAATAATGAGGTTCTAAGGGACAGCCTGCAATCTTGTTTCTTCTGTTGCTACTAACATAAAAATGATGAGGGTCCAAGGGACAGCCTGTCATCCTGTTTCTTCTGTTGCTACTAACATAAAAGTTATGGATGTCCAAGGGACAGCCTGCAATCCTGCTTCTTCTGTTGCTACTAACATAAAAGTTATGGATGTCCAAGGGACAGCTTGCAATCTTGTTTCTTCTGTTGCTACTAACATAAAAATGATGAGGTTCTAATGGACAGCCTGCAATCTTGTTTCTTTTGTTGCTACTAACATAAAAGTGATGAGGGTTCAAGGGACAACCTGCAATCATGTTTCTTCTGTTGCAACTAACCTTGGGCCCTCCAATAACAGTTTATCTTCTTTCAATAAACAGCTGTTTTAGAAATAAGTTTATTGTAAACCAGAAGATTTCCTGGGTAAAAGTGCTATGAAATATTTTTTGAAGGAAAACAACAATTTGTTTTTCAAAATCTGTGTATTACTATTTTACATAATAATTCGTACATATGTATTTGTATATATATATATATGTATATATGTGTATATTTGTTTTACCCAACAAATGTGTATTTGTGTATTTCTACTTTGGTATGATTTACAATAATGTGGCCTGGCATGGCTACGTGATTAGGGCGCTTGATTCGCAATCTGTAGGTTGCAGACCGTGCGTGTGTTTTTACGTGGATTTTAACAAAAACACAAAGTGCATTATAATGCCTATATATGGCCTAAGCCTAATTATATTAAGCGAAATGTGGTTGCAGGCCGCGCTTGTATTTTTACGTGGATTTTAGCAAAAATACGAAGTGCATTATGATGCCTATATATGGCCTAAGCCTAATTATATTAAACGAAATTTGGTTGCAGGCCGTGCGTGTGTTTTTTTACATGGATTTTAGCACATTCTTTCATTTTTTGCTGGACAGCTGGAATATATAACTCTTTTTTTTTAGAGCTCCATCTTCATATTAAGAATGATATTAAAAAGTGAGTTTTAAATCATAGAAAAAAACTATACGTATTTATGAAAACAAATATCAGTGATTGTGAGTTGTTTTTTTTTCGCCAACTAAAATCGTTACAAGTTTTATATTATGCTATTCTAGGAAAGTAAATAAATCTTACCGAGGACGTTCTTGCCCCATTGTCGTGCACTGCAGGTAAGCATACATTACAATGCAATACGTAAATATTAATGTCACTTTGAAAAGTATACCTTCCAATACAATTCTTAAACATTTAAGGCTTTTCGAAAGGCATATTTTACAAATGAATTCGGAAACACTCACGTGTTTTTGAAATTCATAAGTTATTGTGGATTGTATTGTTGTTGTTTTTTTTACTATTAGTATTTATGAAATCTAGTATAATAAAACCGTCTGTTTAACTCGAAAGTAGAATCTGATATTACAATGGTCAGTGAAGATAAAACGTTATGTAACTCATGGACGTTAAAGAAAACGCGAATATTTTTTCCCCTGAAATATTTTTTTTAATAGGTTTTAGCAATAAAAGAAGAGAATCGGAAATGACATTTTATATGTACGCCTACGTGGGGACAAAAGGAAACAGTCTTTCGTGTCTTAAAAACCAAATAACGCTTGGTCGTGTTGACCTGTCGGTTATAATTGACTAAATGAAGAACATCTAATTTTCTTTAATAATTTACTGTAACTTTATATTTTTGGAAGCCTGAATGCACTTATTGGAAATTCAGCCCCTAACCTAGTTTCCACCATTTTTTTTTATGAGCGTCCAACATAGGCAAGCAGCTTTTACCCTCGTGTCTAATGGTGGTCGTTTCACCTGGATTAGCCCGGCATGGCCAGGTGGTTAGGGCGCTCGACTCGCGATCTGAGGGTCGCGGGTTCGAATCCCCGTCCCGCCAAACATGCTCACCCTTTCAGCCGTGGGGGCGTTATAATGTGACGGTCAATCCCACTATTTGTTGGTAAAAGAGTACCCCAAGAGTTGGCGTTGGGTGGTGATGACTAGCTGCCTTCCCTCTAGTCTTACACTGCTAAATTAGGGACGGATAGCGCAGATAGTCCTCGTGTAGCTTTGCGCGAAATTCAAAACAAACCAAAACTAACTAACCTTTTATCATTGGCTAGTTCAACTTCTAAGACAAAGTGTAATTGTGATGTTTTTTGTCTGTTTTGTTTCCAGTGGTAGTGGTTGATGAATCTGCCGATACATCTTATATTTGTTGACAAGCCACGGTGTATCATTATGGCCAAGTGCAATAGACTGGAACATGTGGATACAACACACACTTCATGATAGTAAAATGTAAAGTAGGATACATAACAGCTGCTGCGTCGGATTTTAAATTGATTATTTATTGACTAACCGATCAATATGATTGTAGTGTTTATTGGAGTAAAATGTCATTAAAACTCTAGTGGGATCCACGTATGGCATCGTTGAGAGGAAGTTTTGATTTGGTCTGGTGGTTAGGGCGCTCGATTCATAACCTATGGGTCGCGGGTTCGAATCCCTGCCACCTCCAGTGTCGATCCCTGTACTATCTCAGTAATAGTATTCACCTCCAGTGTCGATCCCTGTACTATCTCAGTAGTAGTATTCTCCTCCAGTGTCGATCCCTGTACTATCTCAGT